AATGTATGCTTACTATACCCAATAGTTTCACTTTTCATTGTTCACTCAGGAGAAACACAAATGTCCACGCAGTGGCTTAGGTGAAGTCGGTTTGCTGTGCACTGTTTACCAACATGTCTGAGTCCAGGGGGACAGAACACCCTCATACACAACTAGAGATAGGTAGGGAGGCACCATAGGAGCCTGGGAGTCATTGTGACCCAGTTTCCCAGGAAAGCTGCTCAGAGTGGATGGAACTTCCTGTGCAAATGCTCCACTCCTACCATAGCTGATGAATCTCAAAAAGCAGCCCATCCTGGGGTGTTTCCCTCCAGGGGGTGACGTGACACATTGTGCTAAAGCACTGAATGACAACCTGTGATTGGTGGGCAGTGGAACAGAGCCTGGGCTCTTCTGGCTAGTCCCTCTTTATCACAGGCTATTGTATTCCCAGCACTTTGCAGTTGTCCTGGAGAACCACAGAGTGAAAGAAGGGAAAGGTCGGGACCCGTCCAAATGTTGACGGGTAGTTCCTCTAAAAATGGCTTGCTAAACAAACATATTCTAGGTCCTTCTTGTCTTGAACAAGGAATCCAACAGATAAAGCCAAACATGGTGCCAAAAGTCGATTTCAAAGGTGAGGGCCAATGTGAGTGCTGAAGGGTGAAGGGTAGAACAAAGGAAAGCGTAAAGCAAAATTAGATGTGCACCTGCATCTAGGAGATGAAGGGTCAGGATATTGGGCTCCTCGTGGCATCTTTGTCCTTGTATGCAGCCCACTCGTCATGGGAACACATGAGAAATTCTACATACAGAGTCCTGGCATTGTCCTGGACGGGTCTTGGCCACTTCTCTAGCCAGCTGTGCCATGCCCTCTCTGCTATATCACAAGGTCACTCAGAGAACTGTCCTGCTGCATATACAAACTTCGACTGGCAAATGGATAAACAAACCGCAGTATATCCAGAGAACAGGATACTAATAACTCAGCCAGAAAAGGAATGAACCGTTCATCTTCTAAGTGACATGGATGAATCTCAAGAGCAGTGTGCTAAAAGAAAGAGGTCACATTTGGAAGGCTACATACTCTGTGTTTCCATCTAGATGACACTAGAAAAGACAAAACGACAGGGGCAGAAAACATCAGGAGTTGCCAGGGCCTGGGGTTGGTGGATGGGAGAAAGTGTGGAGGGCTGTGTGGTAATCTTGGGGAGGCGGTGTTCTATATTTTGATTAGTAGTAGTTGCAAACCTGCATATGTTTGTCAACAGTCATAGAACTAACATTAAAAAGTGATGTATGTCACTTTTTAAAAAAACACCTCAGAGGTACAGATGAGTGCATTACTTGTAACTACAGAGTTAGAAATATCATAAGCATCATTTCCAAGTTAGTTTGAAACTTCTAATTTGACCAAGTGTTAAAGTTAAGAAATGTTAAATGAGAACTTGCATAAGAACATCAACTTAATGCAATATGTAGACATCGCTTGCTTGGGCCCTTTTTGCGTTCTGCTACTTGCCATCCAGTTCACAGTATAAATTATGGCAGCGGTATTCACAGTGATATCCTGGGGTTGTACTAGCTGGTAAACCATTTGCTTGGCTCTCTCTCTCTCTCTCTCCCTCTGCACCGTCCCCACATGTGTGTGTCTCTCTCCCTCCCTCCTTGCTTCCCTGCCTTCCCTGGTTATTTTTTCATACAGTCTCACAATGTAACGCAGACTGCCTTGTAACTCATAATCCTCTTAACTTAGCATTGTGACTACTGGGCTTATGGGCATGGGCCACTCTTCCAGGCTGCATTTACTTTCTTTACAGGGGAAAATTCTCTGAAGATTAGTTAATGTTAATGGGGAATAAAAGAGTATCACGACCAGATTCAGATACCAGAATAAACTATTTAGGTGAGGTTGAAGCCTGGAGACACTTTTTAGGTAAAATGAGGAGGACTGCAAAAGGTTTTTGAAGTAAGTCTTGGCTTAAGCTTTATAATCCAAGAGGCTAGGGATCAATAGTCAGAATGGCACTGTTCCTATCTTGAGTCAATGGTAACTGGACAGATATCCAGGCAGAAATGTTCACTGTAGAAAGTTGTATGGACCTTTGTCACAGTGTGGCTCTAGCTGGGATTTGGGCAATTATTTTTTGCGATTGGTCACATATCCATGAGGTTCTGCTTTCATAAAAAACTAGTTTTCTTTGTTTCTTTATTTGGTTGGGGATTGACAAAGTGGCTCCGGTTTGATTCTGACAATTTTCACAATACACAGAATACTGAGTCTATATACAATCGTGTGTGTATGTATGTGTGTGTGTGTGTGTGTGTGTGTGTGTTACTGCAGGTCATATGCAGGGCCTCATGCACGCACCATTGAGTCATAACTCTAACCCACAGTACAACCAGGTTTGTTTGTTTGCAGTCCTCAGGATTGAACCCAGGCATTCACACTGAGCTATATCCACAGACTTTTTCACTTTCTTTCTTCCTTCCTTTCTTTTCTTTCTTTCTTTCCTTCTTTCTCTGTCTTTTCTCTCTCTCTCTCTCTCTCTCTCTCTCTCTCTCTCTCTCTCTCTCTCTCTCCCTTCCTTCCTTCCTCTTTCTCTTTTTTCTTTGTCTCATTTATTTTTGTTTGGATATATTCTTGCTAAATTGGTACATTACCCAGGATAGGTTCAAACCTGTGCTCTTCCTGCTTTATCTCCCCAGAGTGCTGGCATCACAGGCATGTGCCACCCTGTCTAGTCAATATAACCATTTTTAAGCATACAATTCTGAAGCTTAAAAACATTCGCAATGCTGTGCAATGAGAACTGATTTTAAGGTTTACCCTTTCTACCCAGACCTGAACCTCAGGCTGGCAGTTTCTGTCCTACATGCAAAGAAACCCTCAGACTCAACTCTAGGATTGGGAGCTTCTCAGGACCTGAGCCTGACACAAACATTTCCAGGAGAACCTGGGCTAACCAGGCTTCCCTGCCTCCAGAGAGGAGATAAACCCTCTCTAGGCTGGAGTTGAGCATGACATGGAGATAAAGATAGGGACAGACATTGGAGTGCAAAACTCTACAGTTGATCCTGAGGCCATTGTTATAGCATACTATTGGTAGTTTTTTTAGATTCTCCTAAAATAGGCATCAGTCACCTTGGGTGGAGGACAAAACCTCCTTAACCCACACTCTTCCAGTCCTTGCTCATCCCCTGTGCACTTGCAGCTGTGATCTGCTTCCCAATTTGATCGCATTTAATCAATATTACCTAAGTGGCTATACTTGTTGCAGTCTTATTGATTGAGCATAGTTTTGTAACACCTCACACTCATCCTGTGATTTCCCATTGGATCAATATTACCTAAGTGATTATACCTGTGAACTTATTAGTTGACTATAGTTTTGTCTCACCTTGAACCCACCTCACCTTGTGGCTTTGCTCAATAAAACACCCTTGAGAAGTGGGGTTGGTAGGCAACCCACCTTCCAGGTCCCCTTCTGTCCCTCTTAGAAGTTTTCTTTCTCTCAATAAATTCTTCCTATTCTTAACTTCTGCTGTTCCTAGAATTTATTCCTCCATTTCGGAGAACACAAACTTGGCATTTTAGACATCTAGCAGGTTGAGAGTTATAATATTTCCCTTATATTATTTGGATTATTTGGTGGTTGTATATCATATACCCTATATCATAAGTGTCTGCCATGTCCTTGGGAGAGGGTGCGTGGCCAGAGGCCATTTTAAGGAAGGGCCAACTGCACCCAGGACTCCGAGGACTGGCTTCTTCTCAGGGCTCCTAGTGCTGAAATCCCACAGTTCCTGGGTGAGAGACAACTGTGGGAGACATCCAGGGTCAGGGAGCTTAGGTCAGGTTGGTAAGACATCTAGGGCGACATCTAGTGATACTGTAAGCTGAACAACTCAGGCTCTAACGCCATGACCAGAGGCCAGGATCAGCCTGAACTTCGGTAGAGTTGAAAGCACCAGAATTGGCAGTACCCTAATCCTATTGCAGGTTTGCTGGGACCATCCAGCGAGGTTCTGGGTCCTGTCTACCCCCTTGTTCACAAGTGACAGCAGAGAGATACCCTGAATTGAACACAACCACAAAACTGTAGACCTCAGAAGAAAACCTCAGGTTTGAAATCACAGAAGAATTTTTGTTTTTCTTTGCCTGTGTTTTTTTCCTTGTTTGTTTTTACATGACTGTGAATGTTGTTTTTAGTGTTTTTGCTTTGTTTAGTTCTACTTTTTTGTTTTTTCATATTTTCTTTTCCTCCTGTCTTATTCACGAGTTTCCTGAAGCTTGGATAATCTTCTGTTGTGCTTCAGCCTTGCTTCTAATCTCTTTCTCTTCTATTTTTCCGCTTATCCTTTTAAAATTTTTCGCTGAGGGTAAAATTACTCTACTGAGGGGGATATTTACTGTACATAATTTCCTGACTTCTAATAGATCTTGTTATATAACTATAAATCTTGAACCTATGGTTAAAGGTGGCAAATTAACAGTTATTGCAGCTTGTCAGTATTAATGCAGCTTGTCAGTATTTTTATTACTCATTATACTACCTTATCCAAGGTGATAGAGTTGCTGTTATCAGTTGTTTTTTCTTGTATACCAATACCGAGGTTGTCTGGGGGTCATAAACAATACATTGTCTAGTCTCAAAGAATTGCGTGCTAGCCCAAACAGGCAGCAACCTCTCATTCCTAATAAATTCAAGAGGCAAGATCTTGGGGCAAACTCAAAAGCTAAAAGCCAGCTATGCCTAGAAGGCATCTCTGAAAAGTAGTCATCTCCTAAAGAGGTCTTGATACTAGTAATATAGTGTTTTTCCTTATACAGGAAGACAGCCAATTTAGCTGTGGGGTAGATTTTCTGCTATGCAAAAAATAGAAAAAGCAGAAAACAACTAGGCTTTGGATAGAACTGATGATAGGTGCTGAGATCTGAAGGGAGCAGATGGAGGTCCAGAGCTCTTATGAGGGTAAGGACCCTTGAGCCATTCCATTTTCCTGTGTGCTTCTTTCAGATAATTCCCTGGGGATCAAAAGGTGAATCACAAAGATGAAAGCTTCCTGTGCTGGCGCTTGCCTGCCCCTGCACCTTGCTGTTGATGATTACAAAGGATTCATGAGCCAACCAATGAGTGGCATCCAGATCTGCTGACCAGAAGCAGGGCAGCCCTAGACAGCCTCTTGTGAGAGTCAGCTGGAAGCTGAAGGCTGAGGCCACTGTGCACATTCTTGGCTCTGTGGTATCAGGTAAGAGGACATGGGTGAAACTCCGACCCTTCACTGTGAGCCCAAAGATCCAAAGTTCCCTGGTGTTATGGCTTGTATCTAGATGTCCCTACAAAGCCTCATGCACTCATAGCGGGGCTTTTCAGAGGTGGCCAGGTCTAGGGCTTGTGAATATAGATTAAGAGTGTATGATAAGTACATTATTTACTGATTGGTTTAGCATGATTGTGGGTGTTGATAATGGGAAGGCCTGCCCCGGGTGTGGGGTGGTGCCATCCAGTAGGTTTAGCCTAGATGCAACATTCTGCTTCCTGCCTGCACTGCCACAATCTATTTCTCCTTTGCAGTGTCCTTCTGTCGGGCTGGTCTGCCTTGCAGCCAGCTGACTATGGACTGAAAGCTATGCAAACTGTGAACTATAAACTATGCAAACTATAAACCTTTCCTCTTATAACTCGCAAGTGCTGGGTATTTTGTCTCAGCAACAAGAAAAGTAACTAAGAGACTTGGGAATCTCAAAATTGGACCAGTTTAAAATTTGAACCTTTTACCTTATCAGCATTCAACAACTGGGAAAAAAGTTTTCTTGAATGTCCTGCCAGAGAATATAGGATTATTGAAATAGATGGACCTAGGAATGGACCAAAGTGCTAGGACACAAAGTCTGGCTGCCATCTATGCCATCTCAATATACAAAAGGACTCAAAGAACCTGCAATAGGGTAATGCTATTGGGTGGAGGGGACTTTATATACCAGCATTTCATATACATTATTCTACTAAAGTCACAAACAATGTTAGTAGGCAGATTTTTTTTTTATCCTATTCTGAGATGAATACACACAGTTTTAGGGAAATTAAGTGATATGACCAAGGTCACACAGCTGGAAATGGGAGGAGCCAGTGTTCCAGTACCATGTTTCTGACCTTCACCTTCTTCTAGTAGTGGTGGGCTGCTTCTTTTGCACTGACAGCAGAAGGACACACACTGAGCAAGGTATCCCTTGTGCCAGGGTGAGCAGGAGTGATGGGATACTCACACGGATACTGCTCTACTCTCCAGGGCTGGAAGGAAGTCATACAGGCAGATTTGGCTGTGTCTCAAGGACTGTGAAATTTTAGACACAGAAGCAGCAACATGGCTCCTTATCACATCCGCACATACCAGGAGAGTGATCGAAAACCAGTGCTGGACTTGTACTCTACGGGTGTGACTGGGCACGTTACCGCCACCTACCGCTACATGCTGACGCTGCCTGGAATCCTACTGCTTGAGCTTGGGGTGCCCCTCTTCCTGCTCCTGCTCTCTGGCTCTTGGCTCTTGGCTGTCATGTCCAGCCTCACTCTGCTCCTCTTCTTGTGGTTCCTTGTCAGATACATGTGGAAGCACATAGTGGACACAACTTTGCGCACTGACCTGGCTGACATCACCAAATCCTACCTGAGTGCCTGTGACTCTTGTTTCTGGGTTGCCGAGTCTGGGGGGCAGGTGGTGGGCACTGTGGGTGCTCTGCCGGTGAAGAATCCACCACCGGGGAAGAAGCAATTGCAGCTGTTTCACCTCTCCGTGGCCGTGGAGCACCGAAGAGAGGGGATAGCGAAAGCCCTGGTCAGGACTGTCCTCCAGTTTGCCCGGGACCAGGGCTATGGTGAGGTTGTGCTTGAGACAACTATGATTCACCGCAGTGCCCTGGCCCTCTACCAGGGCATGGGCTTCACAAAGACAGGCCATTACTTTGTGAATATACTCTGGAAGGTAACAGGTATTCCTATGTTTCATTTAATGTACCACCTGCCTTCTGCTCAGGATAGGGGCCTGTGATCTATTTGTTTTGTATTAATGGAAACCTGATTGTGTCTGCTGTAGTTACAAACAAACTATGACATTTGTGTTACAAATCATAAAATTTCATTGGTTGTACCCATCTGCATCCAGCATGTTTGATGTGGCATTCAGGCAGTGGCAGGTCCTCTCCATTCTGTCTTTGTGGATTGCCCCCACTTCAGTTTTCCAGTGGCATGATAATGTTGCTTTAAAAACAACCACATCACAATAACAGACACATGTTTTCTCAGAGGCTGTGGGCCAGCAGTTTCTTCTGGGTTTGGCTGATGCCTTGCTGTTCTCAGCATATCTGTGCAAATGTCTTGAGTGGGCTGCTGTTTGGGATTCTGGGCTTCATTCTGTTCCAGCGGTCTAACTGAGACAGGGTTCATGGTGTCTAAAGAGCTCAAAACAAGAGTAGAAAGGTGCAAAAGCTTCTCCAAACTCCTTAGGTATCACATGTGGAAACATCCCTTCTGAAGGCGAGAAATTGAGCCAAATCTATAGTAAAGGAGGTACAGTCACAGAGCAAGAGGGCAGGATTCAGTGCTGTAAGAACTGGGCAGTGATATGCTGTATTTTCTCTCCTCTCTAGGGCAGTAGTGGTGAACTGTTTAGAGACCGAGTGCCCAAACTGCAACCCAAAGCCCACTTATTTATTGCAAACTTCAAGTATTAGATTTAACCTGAATACTGAGATTTTAGGTTTTTAAAAAATGTTTTCCAGCGCTAGGCTCCTAGAGTGACTTGGCTCACATGCTGACAGAGAGGTCACTGTGTGTCCACTGAGACACATGTGCGATAGGTTTTCCACCACCATAGTGCATGCAAAGAGCAGGAAGGCAGGAGGAGTTGCAGTAGAGAATGTTTTCAGAGGGAGACCTGGATACTGACCAGACCTGGATTTATAGTCAAGGGAGAGGTTTGTTCCTATGTGTATAGGAAGAGGGGATGTTGAGAAAATGACTGTCCCAGATCTGTCACTACTGAGATCCAGACTGGACCCAGCCCTGTCCCCATAGGCTCCAGTACTAGCTGCCTTGTTCTGACCATGTCATCATGGAAGTCCCAGTACAAGGGTGAGTGGGCATGTGGGTCTGTGCTGATTTTTGCAGGATTGTCCCTGTTACCACATACCACATTTGTAACACTAGGGTGCCCACGGAGTTCTTGGAGTCTCCCCTTGTGTCCCCCAATCCCAGGCTGACCTTCTGCAGAATACAGGAGTTCAAGTACCCCTCAGCCAAGTTCTTGTAACATGAAAGCAATGAGGTGGATACTCTCCTAGCCTGACATGTATCTTTCTCTCTACTGAAGCATCTTCTGGAGTGCACCCTGCATAATCATGTAGCTGACCCTGACACAGCCGCTTGCACCCTTTGCCCCTTTGCCACTTTGTTGGGAGCGGCTGAAGCTGGAAATTTGTCATATGTGTGAGGGCAGGACAGAACCAGAGTGCCACAAGCAGTCAAGCTTTCTCGTTCTTGAGAAAACATCCTGCCAGGACAATCCAGTCATAAGTCTCATTAGTCACTAGGCAACCTTGCCTCTCATGATACTAACTTTGCAAGAGTATAAGTAAATGCCCCTACTGCTGTTCAGGTAAGAGGTCACCTCCATCTGACCCAGCTCTTGTCTCTTGTCTATCTTTTCCTCATACCCGCTGCCATTCCTTCCTTGGGTACACTGAGAGACCGACGAGTTCCCTACATTTGACGCCTGAACTGGACACCCAGTGAGAGAGAGTAAGTGGGCAGTGGGTATGCTTCCAGAGTGCATGCAATAGGGAGGGAAACGAACTGGTGAGAGCCAGTATTCACAGCATGCAGACAATATTGGCACATCAGGTGTAGAGCATGGGGATGGAGGCTCATTAGGGCCAGAAATTCACTAGGGCCAGAGAGATAAACACATTTAAAGAGAAAAAGGTTTAAGAGAAGCAAAAGAAGAGAAAAGTATGTTGAATTGCTAGTAGATAAAATGAGACAAACAGAGTTTCAAGAACTGCAGATGTTTATAGATGTATATAAAAATGTTGTTTTCTTGGCTCCTGTATTTACTTTTTTTTTTTTTTTTTTCCTGGATTGTGGTTAGAAGGGGTATTACAACCACACATCTGGAAACTGTACTTTAAAATCAAGTCTTAAGCCTGAATGGGACAAGGAGAGCAGAGCAATGGCGATAAAGATAGAGGTTAAACCCTCTAGCTTTGCTCAGTCAGATGAAGAAGGAAAAGATTCTTTTAAATTGTGTGCAGCTAGTTCCCAGGGGTGCAGTGGCGCTGCCGAAGGGAGGGGAGCTAAATGGGTTCAGGGAGAGCCCCACGCTGCAGTCCTAGGCAGACCCCGCTGGGATTTCCCAGCCACCTGCGTGTCCCCGTGCCTGATCCAGCCGCTTGATCCGTGCCTGAATCAACCACTGGCATGTGCGCTATTTGCACCGAAAATTCATTCGGCTCAAAATAGTGCCTGAGCTTGAAATTTGTACAAAAACAGGACATCCAGCAGACAGAGTGGGAGCCCAGAGTGGGAGTGGGAGCCCAGAGCTGCCTCTGCTGTGCAGCCCTCCTGCCGGCATTCACTTGGGGAGGAGGAATGCGGGCGAGGGTTCTAAGACTGGAGCTGCTGCTAGCAGTTGGCCCAGCCCCAAGGCGATGGAGCTGAGGCTGCTGCAGAGTCAGGAACAGAACTTTGTTCAAATCACCCCAGACTGTCATATCACTCAGTTTGTCATTCTTTCCTTGACAAAATTTTTAAAATTATAAATAAATTTTTAAGAAAGGTTCCAAGGATTTGGGTCTTGACACCTATTGGGTTCAAAGATAAAATTGATTAGTTGAAGAAAAAACATTTTAGAATGCTTTTAGACACAAGTGTGGATGGCCTCCAGGTATGGCAGCTACAGGTGCACAGTAACAGAAGTGCTAAATTGATAACCTAGAGGGATGCAGAAGGCCATTCAGCAGGGAATAAAGCCTCACAGGGAATAGAGCTGATTTTAAAAGAGAAACTTTTATATTTTCCCCTTAAGGTGATTAATTTAAAAGGCTGTGTCCATCCTCAAGGTAAAAACATTTTGCCTTTAGTTAAAAAAATCATATATTCTGAGATTTACAATAATGGGGATATTTTTAAAAATTACTTAAAGTTCTCTTGATTCCTAGTAAGGTTGATAGCCCATTTTACAGTCCTAAATTAAATTGGTATAGAAAAACTTAAGTATTTTACAAATAGATATAACAGATTGGAGTACAATCTAAAAGCAGTGGTGTTTAAGCAGTCACTTGATTTTGACATTGCATTTAAATAATGGCAGGCCTGGTAGTGGCCTCCAAAGAGGTACAAACTATGATAACTTCTTCATATTTGAGTCAACTTTGTATTTGGGCCAACTTACCCAAGACAATTTACCATAAACTGTTCAGATCAACCTAAAATGATTTTCAGATTTTATTTGGTAATATTAATTGGCTCTGTCCAGATTTTGGGCTAATTTCTCTGGTGTTATTGATTGTCATTATCCTTCAGACAAGTTAATTCAGTTGCTTCTATTTTCACAGATGGGTCATCTTAGGTTAAGGGATCCTATATGATGGCTTCCTCTTCCAAAAAATAGGATACAGGTTTCTCACTGTATGATCAATATTCAATTACAAAAACAAAAGGGGGAATCTTTCCCCACAAAATTCATACCTCATAATAGACTTACTTGTCAATATATACTATTAAATTTTTAAAATTTTATAAAAATGGAAGTACAGTAGCAGAAAGACAATTCAACCAGGTCAAGCAAAAAAAAAAATCTTAACTTGGTATAGAGGATATATTTGTGTTTTGCTAGAGCATGCTGTCTGGCTGTATCATGAAGCCAGATCTGAAGAAGAAATTGACAACAATGAGGCTAGATTTGACCTGGAGCCTATTGAAGAAACTGACAAAATGGAAATCTAAGGTCTAAGTAGGTGATAGAGTATATGGAGACAACTGAGCTGAAAGTTACCAGTCTTAAGACAGAATAAAATATAAAAATGTATATTAATTATAGGAAAAAAGATTCTATTCCTTCCAAATTTTTTTCTGATGAGAGATTTCTGCCAATTGACAAACAAAATCTGACTAGTCTATTTATAATTATAAATTTCTAAAATTGTAATAGAGTTACTATAATTCAGTTGGGTCAAAAATATATTTGGGTGCACTCTGATTTTGTAAAGATATTTGTTTTTTCTGTGTGCTTGTTGTCTTTTTGTCTGTCATTCCATGAACAGCTGTTCCCTTTTATTTTGAGCTCAACATTTCTTCTTTTGTCATTTGTTCATAATACAATTTGGGTTATAGATGTAAAAGCATGCTTTCACCTAAGTTACCAGATGGTCTAAGTGATATCAAAATTAGTTTACTAACAGCTCATTAAAAACTTTCAGATGATTAATAAAAATTCCTTAGAGTGGGGAGATATTGTTGGACAGGATTCCAGTTGGTGAATAAGAAATGGCCGACCTTTGTTCATTAATAAGGAGCTCCTGATGATCTTCATAACCTCTTGGGGAGATACCCCAATAATTTGTTCACATGGTCAAAATATAAAGTTTTTCAGAATAAATAAATTGAGTTTTTCTCACAAAAGATGTTCTTGATACAAAACTAAATTAAGAAACAAAGGTTTTCACATGTGTATGATAATCCATTAGTGTTAATCTCATGGTGTATTAATTATATTCATGATTTCAGATGCACAGGTCTTCCAAAATGTAAAACAAGGATTGGTTATTGTGAGAAGACTTCCTTTCAGATTCAGACTTCTGCCTTTAACAAAAACTTGTGATGCACATACCATTAATGTACAACTAATTAGTTTACTGAGGAATCTCCAGACTGATTTTCATGGTAGTTGCATCAGTCTACATTCCCACCAGCAGTGGAGAAGGGTTCCCTTTTCCCCACAGCCCTTCCAGCATTTGTTATTAGTTGATTTCTTGATGATAGCCATTCTTTTGGGGTGAGATGGGATCAGTGTTGTTTTAACCCAGCTATTTACCTTTTGGGTATTTTTCAAGAAGAACTAAAAACATCATACCATGATATATATGTATACATGTTTATAGCAGCACAATTCATAATAGCTAAATCATGGAAACAACCCAAATGTCCATAAACTGAGGAATGGACAAAAAAGATGTGGTATTTTTATATAATGGAATATTACTCAGCTATAAAGAAAGATAAACTCAAGACTTTTATAGATAAATGGATGCAACTAGTGTAACAGCAGAATTCGGTTGTATTCCACAAGAAACCAAAAATACTCTATTTAGAACAAGCAGAGCTTTAATTTGAGGCTAGCCACCCATCCTCCTGATTTGCCAATCAGGGAATTGGGCGAAGGGCCTGCCTTTATTCCCAGTTTATATACATTTTTTGGTTTCCATGTTAACAGATTGGAATGTTGTAGCCCTGGCCACATGTTGTTTTCCTTGTGCCACATAACAGGGTCAGGCTCTGGTCGTGAGCCCAAGCACAATGATACATACTTTGTGTACTATGTTCTATATGTCCCTCTTTAGAGAACCATACACTTCCTTTCTGGTTACAATGTTTATCTAGGGCCAAGGAAAGGATGAAACAACCCAGAAAAGGTCATAGATAGTTTGCTTTTTGTCTTTGGAGAAGCATTCCAGCGCTAAGTCAGGACTGCAAAGTTAACTCTTTACAACCCCTCCCGGATGTTTCTCAAGACACATTTTGAGGCTTGCTTTAAGACTAGAATTATTCTATCTTAAAATGATGTGCTAACAGTCACCATCCCCTGCACTCAAGACCATACTTATAAGTGAAATAAATCAGACTCATGTGTACAAATATCATGTTGTCTCTCTGGTGTAAGAACCTGAAAGAGTAAATAAAATCTGAAAGGTACAGTAGATATTGGGAAATGGAAAGCAACTGCTCAAAAGAAAAGAACAACTAGGATGAGGGAAAAAAGAAAAAGAAAGAAAGAAAGTAAAAAAGAAAGGAAAAAGAAAGAAGGAAGGGAAAATATGTATATATGTATGCACAAGATAGCTAAGATAATTGTACTATTAATTTCTATTGCTTTATTGAAAGGAACAATCAATGTTTAATTATTTGATCAATCTTACATGCATGTATTTTTTATCTGAGTAACCAATTTGAAGATAACAATATGTAATATGACAACTATTGTTAATTTCCTATCCCTTGTCTGAAATTCTGTATTATTTTT